GTCGCTCTGCCCTCTTTTACCTCTGGCCTTGCCCACCACTATTAGCATGTGGCTCTTAGAAGGTAGGCCAGAAGGTCATGTGACCCTTGGGCTGAAAAAGGTTCCTCACCTCCACTTTGGTGTGAGAAATAACTGATTGCTAAGCAGACAAATAGGCCTGAGGGGAAGGTGGGGATTGGTGTTACAACTGCTGATGTCACAGAAGCACTGATGACCTCTTAAACCATGGGAAGTAGTGTTATTCCCCTCCCCACATATTGGGGAGGGCATTTGGAGATGTCTATCCCAAGTGCAGATCCCTCAAACATGGTTTCTTGCCTTCTCCCCTCTCTTGGCATTCAGGTGGTAACTGAAATTCTGTAAGAAGTTCAAGGATGATTACCAATGAGAAGCAGCAGTTGACACCATTCCCCTCCCCCACTCTTGCCTAAGATAATGCCTGCTGTCAGTAGCACTGCATCCTAGAAGCTGACATCCTATGCCTATACCTAATTCTGCACATATGAAATACAGGTGGAAGGGCCATAGGTCATTTTTGGAATACATGCTTTGCATCTAAAACACAGGAGAGACACTGCCAGTCCACATCAACAATATTGAGCTGGTTGCACCAGTAACCAGGACTCAGTGTAAGGCCTATCTATCTTCCTTACTATTTGGCAAGGGTAAGCTTATTTCTAGAGGGCCTTTGTGATCACGTATATACGAGTTCTTCCGGAGCCTGTGTGCGTACTCCCATCACTAGATAGGCGCGCTCTCTTTCTGTCTCTCCCTCTTTCCTGTCACTCCCCCTCCTCCTGGCTTTGGTGAGCGAGACTTTCCAGAGGGTCTCCCTGCAGCAGCATTAGCAGGCAGGCAGCGCGAGATCAGTCATGTCAAAGGTACCGCTGACCCTGCTGCTGCATAGCAGCTCAATACAATATGCTTAGGTGGCTTCAGGGGTGGGTGCCTGATGCCCCTAGAATTCGGCGCCCGGGTGCCCCGCACCCCTTGCACCCCCGGATAAAGATGGCCCTGGTAATGCACTTGCTATACACACAAGAGGTTCCAGGTTCAATCCTCAGCATCTCCAAGTAGGACTCGGAGAGATCCCCATCTGAAAAAGTTAGCTAGACCAAAGATCTAGATTCCACACTAGTCAGCTTCCTATTTTCCTGGGAGTTCTGTGGTGGATGAGGCCATGTGTTGGAATATGGTGGCATGATTAATCTGCTCCAGTTTTTAGTGGGTTAAGTGGCTTGCCAGAAGACAAGTTAATGATGTACTGCAATCATTTAATGAAGATTGATTGCCATCGGTACAAACGGGTAAGTGGGCAAGGACAAAGGAGCTCACATTTGAGGGACGAGGACATGAAGATGGAGTTACTGCTTAAGACAGTCCATGTGCCTGGTTGCTGGCATGACCTCAAGAAACTCTGCATTTCAGGAAGAAGAAAAGCATCCTGGTCATAGCCCAGGTTACTAAAATGGGGAACAGGAGCGCAGTGTCTCCATATAAGGTTTACCTTGCATTCACCAGTCACTAAATTTACTGCTACATTAAGCACAGATGTAGCTGAAATTAATTCCCATCCCTTCACTTACTAAGCTATTTTTGAAACTCCAAAGCAAACCATTCCTTCCTCAGTTTAAACTAAATCCAAATAATGATTCAGACTGAGAAAATGTGGGAATGCACAGGGAGGGGGGAATGAAGGATTTTTCTCTTGAATGTCAAGAGGTTTGGTATGAATATGGGTGCGGAATAGGGGTGTGGAAATATCAGGTTCAGGTGCTGAATGTAGACCTCCAGATTTCTCTATCTGCCCCTGGGACTTTGTGAAGACTGTGCCCCATCCCAAAGCCATGCCACAAATCACCACTGCCATGCACCCTTCTCAAGCACTTGATGTCTCCTTGAACTGTGCAAATGCCTCTTGCTTTCCTGGAGAAAGGTGTATTCTGTTTGTGAGAGTGCACAAACATCTCCTTTTTTGTTTTTGCATGGCCAGAACTGTACAAAATTGCTCTGTCCAATTTTGTCTCTGGTCCTACCTATTTGCTGCCTCTGATTTTGTGTCTGTAGCCCCACCCATGACAGGCATGTAGCCCCCAAAAGGTTTCCCATGAGGGAATGCAGCCTTTAGTTTGGGGTGTGGGTGGGAAGTGACCCCAAAATGTCACAAAAACACACAGAAACTTGGATGGTGGCGGCCCAAGAGAGGGCATCCTCTGCGACAGCCCTTAAGTTGTGGAGCTCCCTTTCCACAGAGGTGGCATCTTCATTAGGCATCTTTTTCATCATACGTCAAATAGATAACCATCCTATCAGGAGTTCAATTCCACATTATGTCAGAATTATGCCTTGACTGTGGCATCATGTCTCCTTTGGAACTCTCTCCCACTGCACAGCAGATACGCACCTCCTCTTTTCAGTTCCTGCTAAAAACATTCCATTTTTCAACAGATTTTCTTGGTTAGTATAGGCCTAGGTTTGGAATTGATTTCACCTATTCTATTGTTATTTTAATCTCTCTCTCTCTGTATGTATATGTTGGCACTGTGGGTTAAACCACAGAGCCTAGGACTTGCCAATCAGAAGGTTGGCGGTTCGAATCCCCACGACGGGGTGAGCTCCCGTTGCTTGGTCCCTGCTCCTGCCAACCTAGCAGTTCAAAAGCACGTCAAAGTGCAAGTAGATAAATAGGTACCACTCTGGCGGGAAGGTAAACGGCGTTTCTGTGTGCTGCTCTGGTTTGCCAGAAGTGGCTTTGTCATGCTGGCCACATGACCTGGAAGCTGTAGGCTGGCTCCCTCGGCCAATAAAGCGAGATGAGCGCCGCAACCCCAGAGTCGGCCACGACTGGACCTAATGGTCAGAGGTCCCTTTACCTTTTTATATGCCTTGGTTTGGAATTGATTTCATCTATTCTATTGTTATTTTAATCTCTTTCTCTCTCTGTATGTATATGTATAATTGTTTTTGTATATGCAGTTCTTTTAACCATTTTTATATATGGATGGATTTGGATTTGGATATCCCGCCTTTCACTCCCCTTCAGGAGTCTCAAAGCGGCTAACATTCTCCTTTCCCTTCCTCCCCCACAACAAACACTCTGTGAGGTGAGTGGGGCTGAGAGACTTCAAAGAAGTGTGACTGGCCCAAGGTCACCCAGCAGCTGCATGTGGAGGAGCGGAGACGCGAACCCGGTTCCCCAGATTACGAGACTACCGCTCTTAACCACTACACCACACTGGCTCTTATATATGTAACTGTTTTATCTATGATCACATTGTAAATAGCTCATGAGAAGTAATTAATAAATCGTCATCATCATCATCATCATCATCATCATCATCTACTGGAGAAGACTGGTCCCCTCTAAATGAAGAGGCACCTCTCAGTGAGGTCAGAGCTCACTGCTGAGGCAGAGCTGCAGCTCCTATATAAGGATTAAATTGAGAGTAACTTCTGATGAGGCAACATCTGCCTTCATGTGGAAGGTGAATGGTGCTGCAGCACACTTACCTCTGAGCAGTGTTAAGCAACAGGGTGCCTCAGAGTTCATGTTCAGCCCAGGAATTTGCAACCAGATTTAGTCATTTGTTGAATATCCTGCCCTTCTTCCCAAAGCAGCTCAGGGTTGCAAACTCATGACTATTGCAAAAACTAAAACTAAAAACAGTTCCTGTAGAGGGGCAGACTGGGGGGAATCTCTGTTTAAAAGGCTTGTAGGAAGAGGAAGGGGCCAAAAAGAAAACAGAGATGCACCAGTCTGATTTTTTTAAAAAAAATAAAAAATGGAGAGAGGGAATTCCAAAGGATAGGTGCCACTATGTTAAGGGCCCAATTTTTATATTGTGTGAAACGGACCTCCTAATAAGATACTATCTGCAGGAGGTCCTCACCTGCAGAGCACAATGATCGATAGGGTGTGAAAGGGGTGAGGTGAACTTCTTCCAGGTTTTAGAACAAAGCTTGCAAGTTCTTTCACACACACACACACACACACACACACACACAGCATTATTTTTTTCAGGGACCTAAATTAAAGAGGAGGGGCAGCTTTGTAGTTCTTCCTGTTGTCCCTTCTCCCAGAATGAAGATGGAAGACAACCACTGGGAGATAAAGACAACAGCTTTATTAACCTAACTCCTAACGCTTCTGCAGCAATCACAAACTCATGCTAGCTAACTGTGGGCGTAAGTAACTCAGGGAAATCCAGAACATCTGGTTGGCATAAGGTCAGTCACCTCGCTTGAGAGTGTGCCTGAGTCAGAATCATCCAAACTTAGAGAAGGAGCCTGCCCCCTGTGTCTATTACCCTCTTCTCCTTTAGGCAAATTTAGGTCACATCCATGCCATACATTTGAAGCACATGACACCCCCTCCCCCCCAAAAAAGGAAAAACCTGGAATTTGTAGTTAATCCTTGACAAAACTGCAATTCCCAGCACCCGACACATTTCCCAGGATTCCTTGAGGAAAGCCAAACACTTTGAATCTATGGTGTGGGTGTTGCTTGTCTGGAGGAGAGAAGAGGCAGCATGTTCATGTGACGCTAAATCAAGGGTCTTCCATCTCAAAGCACACTTCTCTCAAAAGAAAATCTGGTGAGTTGTCTCCCTTTCCCAAAAGAAAATGGCAACAGGGAAAATGTGTGTGTGGATGCTATTAATAGCTAACAAAACAGCAATGATATATCTAGTGGCACACTTGTGTACACCATAGCAGTTTGAGGATTTATTTTTTTAATCCAATAAACATTCTAAGATACCTTGGAAACCTATTACAGTCTCTTCCCCCCTGAGCCAAACAGTGTAATTCTACACACACACACACACACACACACAGAGAGAGAGAGAGAGAGAGAGAGAGAAATATCTCAAAAGATAATGGGGGAGGAAGCAACCTGAGATTGACATTCTTTTATTCAATGCGGAGATGTTTTTGTTTGTTTAAAAATAGCAAACAATGAAAAATAAGTATACAAAGAATATATATATATATATATATATATATATACATATACACACATACATACACACACACACTCCAAAAATGGCATTAGAAAGGTTTCCTAAAGAGAAAGGTAGGTGTGTGTGTGTGTGTGTGTGTGTGTGTGTGTGTGTAGGGGGAAAGACAGGGAAAAACCAAGGCCTGCGATGACAGTTCTTATCAAAGTGTATATAGAGACATTATATGTTCCAGTAATTGTTTAGGCCGGTGAATTAATGAATCCCTGGCTGTAAGTCTCTATTTGAAATGATTTCAGCAGTGTCTGGCTGCTGTTCTGCTCCTTTGGAAGAAATAATAATAAAAAAGCCTGTGTGAAGCTCTGGAGAAGGGCCTTGAACCTTGCCATTCACTCCTTTTCAGCCTATCAGCTGAGTCTAATTGCCAGAAAGCGCACGAGACCCCGAAACCTGATTGTTCTTCGACCTCCTTTGAGGTTCTGAGGCATGAAAAGCAAAAAGGGTGGTGGTGGGGGGGGAAAGCTCTCTTTTGATCTTCTGTTTCTTTCTCTCTCACTCTCCCCCCACCTCTCGCCACCCCCCCTTCCCCAGCCTACTCCTACTCGAAGAATGACACGATTCTTTATGTGGCCGCTTCTTCGTCTTCTCCACAAAGACAATAATTAATAAGGCCTTTATAATAAAAAAAAGAGGAGAGAGGGGAGGGAGGGAGGCTTGAATCGGTGTCACCTTCAAGGGTGGTCCCAGGCTTGGGAGTGAAAAGCCTGGTGGGCTGAGGGGGGCCATTTGTGGCCTCAAGGAGGGTCAGGTTTAAACACCCTGACCTCAATTTTCACTCTCCTCCACTAATGAGCCAATTCGCACGCCAATGCAAAATTATATGGTGGAAGGGTGGGGACAGGGGGGGGGGAGAGAAAAAGACAAAAGGAAGAAGATGCTGTCCCCCCCGCCTCCAAGAAATGGAATGTATTGTCATATTTGTGGATGTGACATCACAGCTCTGGTGGACAGGCTTAAATCTCTCTCTCTCTTTTATCTCTGCCACAAAATTCTACGTCTCTGGCCATCAAATTACTTTCGCAAACTTAAAATCACACTCAGTGCCTCTTATTTGTTGAGGTGTCAGGAAGTCGCAGTGTGGGGTGGAAAGAGGTGACCGGTGTGTCCCCCCCGCCTTTCTCTCTCTCTCTCTCTCTCTCTCTCTCTCTCTCTCTCTCTCTCGTGTGATCACACAAGCAGAACTGGCACTCTTTACCGAAGGTCACACTCGGTTGCCTCTCTGTCAATTGTTAGGGATAAAGTGGCATTATTTGTATCTGTTCTATTTCTTCAGCTTATCAAATTGACACCTAAATAGGGGCTGGCTTGCTTTCCTTTCATTCTTCGTCTATTATTATTATTTAAGATGGTGATTATTGGAAGGCGGGTGGGGGTGGGAATCTACATCCAACACAGCTTACTTATATCTCTATTTGACTAGTGAGACTGAAGGAGTTCAGACATGAATCGCAAAATCCTTCCCCATGTATTTTTGGTGTGTTTGGGGGGGGAGAGTTAATATAGATGTTTTATAAAAGCAGTTTTATAAACAGATGTTTTATAAACAGCTTTGATTCTTTGCAAATTAAGCAGGGTCAATGTGTGTTGGTATGGTGACAGAAAAACACACACACTGGATTAGCAAATTGTTGTTGTTGTTATTGTTGCTGCTGCTGCTGTTGTTTGGGTTTCTTATCTGCCCTTCACCATAAGGTCCCAGAGCTGATAATAATCATATAAAAATGTTACCATATCTGACCCAAATGTGGGTGAATTTTGATTTGAGGGCTGAATCCAGTTAAGTCATTGGACAAGCAGAATGGCTTCTATAAAGACCAGAGTACGTTCCATCCCACTTCTCCTTGCTATGCACCCCGCACAAGAAGATCGGAGAGTTGTGTATGACAGGAAGGCTCACAGAAGTTGTTTGGCACAATGATTCAGTTGGATACAACTTTCTAGATCCTAAATTGCATTTTTTTTCCATCCGAGGACACCTTCAAAGAGAGGACTGTCCTCTGTAAAGCAGGCCACCCTAGTCCCAGGTCAGGATTCTGCTGCCCAGCACCCTGGTCTGGTCCTGCTCACCACTTGCTCAGGCAGTTATTTTCCTCTTACTAGAGATACTTTAGCAGTTCTTTCTTTTTTCCAGTGTAGATTTTTCAATTTCCAACTATTCCAAGAGCCACTGATATAACTCAAATAAATGTTAAATGAGCTTCTCTGTTTTACATCAGCTGGATTGAGAAGAGGAGATAAAATTGTGATAAAAATATGTACTTCCATGGAATAATCACTTCTGTAATGAAGAACACATGTGGAGGTCAGATGTTTATTAAAATGCCCCCAGAATGTCTACTTGTGAACAATGTCTCATTTTTTATTGTGTATTTTTGTGCTTCTCTGGGTTTCCTCTCTCTGTCTTGCTCCTCTGTCTTTCTCCTGGACCACCCACAATGAACTGAGTTGAGGTTGGAGAACACATGGGCTCCCTATTAAGCACCTGCATCAAACCGCTAATACCCAAGAGCTACATATTATTCTCCAGAAGAGTCACTCTGGCGCCTTGCACTCTCATCACTGAATGGTGCAGACAAGATGGGTGAAACCCTAAATCTTAACAAAGACAGGCCTACCAATGACCATTAGCAATTATGGTATGACACCTCTGCATTCAGAGACTGAATTACACTGATTAGATTACCAGCTAGCAGGCAGAATCAATGGGAGAGGACAACTGCCTTCATAGGAACATAGGGACCTGCCTAGGTTCAGACCAATGGCCCATCTAGTCCAGCACCTTGTTCTCACAATGGTCAAGCAGATGCCTGTGAGAAACCCTCAAGCATGATCCGAGCACCAAAGCACTATCCCCTCCTGTGGTTTCCAGCATATGCTATTCAGAAGCATGACTTTCTCTAAATGTGGAGGCAGAAAATAGCCATCATGGCTAATAGCCATTGATAGACGTCTCCATGAATTTGTCTATTCCTCTTTTAAAGCCATCTAAGTTAGTGGTCATCAGTGCCACCTGTGGGAGTGAGTTCCAAAGTTTAAGTGCTGTCATCTATGCTGACTGGGAGTTGTTCTCCAAGGTCTCTCCAGCCCTACCTGGAGAAACTGGGGGTTGAAGCATGCATTCTGGAGACCTCTGATTGGTCACCATGGAAAGCAAAAAGCTGGACTAGATGGACCATTTTGGTCTGAATCGTCAGGGCTTTTATGTTCTTCTGATTTATCCACAATGCACTGAAGACTGCTTTGTTCAGAGGCCTGGGACTTTTAGGAAAAGAAACCTGGACTCAAACGGCACTTAGTAGATGAACAGGTTGTTTTTAGAGATCCTTGCTTGCTACCAGTTGCATGTAGACTGGTGTTCTTCCTCCCAGAACTCCCTTTCATCTCTGTCCATTGTAAGTCCTGGGGTGGACAATTCTATGCTCAGAGGATTCTGGAATTCTGGTATGGATCAAGGACAGAATCTGCCCCAAACAATACACTGGCTATGCAGCTGGATAAATTTAAAGTAGCACTGGTGAAGTGTGGGAAAAGACAGTAGCAACAGAAGGACAATATGGGCCAGAATTTTAATGGTGTTAAAGTGTTAAGTGCTTTTACCTCTCATGCTAGGGACTGAACTCCCCTGCACTGGCAATTTGTGTAAAAAACTAACAAGCCTGCACAGCATAACATGCAGTTTGACTCCTGATGGACCTATAGTGTGACTTCAGGCAAGGTGGTATTATGTGTCAGTTTGTGCTCCGAAATGACCTCAGGATCTCTTCCTCCTCTTCAATGAAGGACTACTGCTTCCCAAAGAGATGTCTGATCTCTTCTGTCCACGATCACCCTTCTGCTTGACTCACCTTTACACCTACAGCACAATAGGACCCTTAACCTTAATGGGCAGGGGCTGCGAAGTAATGATTTTCTCAGAGCACCAGCGTTCAGTGTCTAAAGTGGCGCCGATGCCTTGCCTGTTTAACAACAGTCTATCGGGGCCCAGACAGCATTATCAAGACCACCTGTCTGGGATGCTGCCTTATCTGATCACCCTTGCCTCGACTGTTCCAAGGGTGCCTCTCCATTTACCCCAAACAAGCCACGGAACCCCCTAAATAAAACACTCTTGGGGCTTGGGGGTGGGTGGGGTGGGGGCGGGAAGCAGAGAAAGAACAGAGCGATAAATAAAGTTGAGCTGAAAGGTTTAGAATTTGCAACCGATGCCACCTAGCAAGAGAGATAAGGGGCTTTCAGACAAGTTGGAATGCAGCGATATGCCATTCACACGCGGGAGGACGCAAAAGGGTGGCGGAGGCAGGTTGCTAGCATCGCAACAGGCTATCTCGAGTTTCTCGGATGACATGGACCGATACAGTAATCAGGCGCTTGGCTCATTGTGACAACCTTTTAACAAGGGGTTGGGGAAGGGAGGGGGGAAACCATTGTCCAAGCAGCGGAGCTGGCCAGATCAGATTATTCTCTCCATTATTCTATGGCAGTTTGAGGGGAAAGTTCTCCAAGTCTCACACCAGAAGAGATGTCAGTTGTGAACTATATTATGGGGTAGGGCTGTAGCTTAGTGGTAGAGCATCTCTTTGGCATGCAGGAGGCCATGGGTTCTATCCCTGGCCCTGGGCGTGTCCCCATAAGAAGCTTCCATTTGATGTTCCAAAATATTATATGAGGAGGGGCAATGCCAGGTAGGGCATCTCCAGGTAGGGCTGGGAATATTCCCTGTCTGAAATCCTGGGAAGCCATTGCCAGTCAGCCTAGGCAATGCTGAGCTAGAAAGACTTGATGAAAGGCAGCTTACTATGTGCATATTTATGCAACCCTACATTCAGAACCATGAGGACTGGAATCTTACTTTCTCTTTATGAGAAGGGACCATTGCTCAGGGGTAGGACACTTGCTTTGCATGTAGAAGGTCCCAGACTCAATCCCTAGCATCTCCAGGTGGGGCTGTGAATGCCCCCTGTCTGAAATCCTGGAGGCCCACCATGTAGGCAATATTAAAGGTAAAGGTAAAGGGACCCCTGACCGTTAAGTCCAGTCGCAGACGATTCTGGGTTTGCGGCGCTCATCTCGCTTTATTGGCCGAGGGAGCTGGCATTTGTCCGCAGACAGCTTCCGGGTCATGTGGCCAGCATGACAAAGCCACCTCTGGTGAACTAGAGCAGTGCATGGAAACACCATTTACCTTCCCGCCGGAGCAGTACCTATTTATCTACTTGCACTTTGATGTGCTTTCAAACTGCTAGGTTAGCAGGAGCAGGGACCGAACAACGGGAGCTCACCCCGTCGCGGGGATTCGAACCGCTGACTTTCTGATTGGCAAGCCCTAGGCTCTGTGGTTTAGACCACAGCACCACCCGTGTCCAGTAGGCAATATTAGGTGGACCAATAATCTGACTCAGTATAAAGCAGTTTCCTGTGACATTTGAATGATACAATGTAACAGGAGCCTGATCCTGAAGGCTTGATGCAGTACTAAGTGTCCGTAGGGCACCTAGGGTCTCGAACTCAGAGCTCCAGCAGCGTGGACCAGGAACTTTACTTTCTGCACTTGCTGGGGAGAGGAGAATGTGCACCTGTTTTCAAGTGTCACAGGAACCTTGATGCCATTTGGGGAATCTAAAACTTTCACCTGGAAGAAAAGAGAGCCAGTGTGTGTGTGTAAGAGCAGTGGACTCGTAATCTGGTGAACCGGGTTCGATTCCCCGCTTCTCCACATGCAGCTGCTGGGTGACCTTGGGCCAGTCATACTTCTTTGAAGTCTCTCAACCTCACTTACCTCACAGAGTGTTTGTTGTGGAGGAGGAAGGGAAAGGAGAATGTTAGCCGCTTTGAGACGCCTTAGGGTAGTGATAAAGCGGAATATCAAATCCAAATGCCCCTGGCCCACCTCCCCAATGTTCCCTTGCCTAAGGACTGCATAAGGGGAAAGGATGCCCCCCTCCACCCCACTTTGGGTAACGATTTCAGTATGACATCAGCAGCCATTACACCAATACCTAACCTCTTCTCAGGCCTATTTGCGTGCCTGACAACCAACTTCACCCAGGCTCCTCTTTAAAGAAATGGGACTTCATTGATTTAACAGGCATACTAGGAAAGGCTTAAGAATGAAAACAGACACACAGTCAGAGTGGCTCTTCCATATGTATTTTCAAAGTTTCGTTGGATATTTAGCTTACTATCAGATTATTTGATGAGTTGTGGACTGATGGATAACAGTACAGAGCATCAGGAACTAGGGGGGAGGGGGGAGAGAGAGATAACGATCTGTGTGATCCCTGAGAAAACAGCAACAGTGTTACAGTGATACAGCAAGCGGATGATGATACACTTCTTTCTCTGAACGGTGCTAAAGTAGTTGCATTTTGAACTGCAAAACCCTATACGGCTTTCCTTTTTTACTTTCCTTTTTTAATTGCTAAATGTAGCAGATAGCTTTCTGTATCTATGTGTGGTTTTTCCACATACACTGCACACAGGGGCCTTTTTCCATCCAAATATACCCCACAGGCTTCTTTGTGTTATCACTTCAAAGCAATGTATCTTTTTTATTTTCTTAAAGTCCTGCTTTGACGACTGGCAGCTCTGATGTGGAAGTTGCAATTGACTGAAACTGAGATGTGATCATCTGGAGTTTTCACTTCCACCACCATTCCAAGCTTGCAGCAATAAAAGCAGTGATTACCTTTGATATGGCTAATGATGTTACCGAGATAGCAGACATTCCAGCTGGTTAATTTAATTTCCAAGCCTGTTGATATCATTTAGTGTGTGTGTTTGTGTGTGTGTGTGTGTGTGTGTGTACACACACACACACACACACACACACACACAGTGTAATGGATTTCCTTTTGTAGTGACCAATGACAAAATCAAAGCATAAAATTTAAATACATAAGAGGAGCCTGCTGGATCAGGCCAAGGGCCCATCTAGTCCAGCATCCTAGTTGCACAGTGGCCAATGAGAACAGTGGGAAACACACAAGCAGGACATGAGTAGAAGAATTCTCTCCTGTGGTTTCCAGCAACTTGTAATCAGAAGCAATACAGTATTCAGAAGCAATACTGTTCCTGACAGTGGAGGTACAACATAACCATTGGTAGCCTTATCCTCCTCTTTTAAAGCTATTCACATTGGTGGCCATCACTGATTCCTGTGGCAGAGAGTTCCAGAGTTTAACTATGCACCACATGAAGAAGTGCTTTCTTTTATCTGTGCTTCCTGTATGTAAATCCGCCTCCCCACCACGACTTACAAGTAGGTCAAGTGTGTAAGAGGGACCCATAGCTTGCTCTCTGTTGAGCTACTGACCACTATTCTATGATCCCATTTAGCTATTAATTTTGACCATTTATACACTGCTTCATTGCAATCGTCTCTAAGCAGAAACTCACTGCATGGACGCCCACTGTTAGATCATCCTTCACAAACCTGGTGCCTTCCATATGTTTTGGACCACTCAGCTCCCTCAGCTTCAGCCATCATGGAAAGCCAAGGTTGCTTAAAACCTTGCAAACCTTCCATTTTGTCTCTCATGAACTGTGGAATGCTCACCTCTGTGTTAGAAAGTCAAACTAGGACTCCCGGTCTCGGGACAGGCAGCCTCTCTCAGTCTAACAAACCTCACAGGTTTGTGAGAATCAAGTTTATGGGATGGGAACAATCTGCAGTATGCTGAGGAGCTTGGATAATTTTCTTGATTATAACAATAACATAGCATCAAGACTAAAGCCATGACATCTGTCTATCTCTCTGGCTACCCAGAAGCCTTTCTCTGAAGCAAGTGGATTCAGGGCTACTACCTTTGATGGCTCATTAGCCTGAACTTTCCCCTTGGCATGTAAGCAACCTGCAGTAGTTAACAGCTTGCTTATTGCTCCCTCCTCAAACCAGTGAAGCCACATGATCCAGCAGCATGTCAAAATGTCAATTTTACCGCCTATCAGGCGGCACCGAGTTACTTTTGATTTGATTGAGTTTTGACCTCTTTATCACTTAAAAAAGAAAGGGAAAGAAAAGAAGCCCTCTTTGTTACTTAGATGTATCCACAAGGCCAGATCAATAGCTCAAGTGGGAACTTTCCGACCTGCAAAGTAATTCAACCAATCATCCTTTCTCCCTTTGTAATGGCAGAAGGAAAGCAACCTTGATCAATCAAACGGGGGTGGGGGGTGGGGAGAGTAACCAACTACCACTTATTCCATACATCCAGGCAGACTTTCTACTTTTGTAAGAAAACCATAAGCTGAATCCAATGCCTTCTTCCTCATTGGGAAAGGCCAATAAATGTCAGATTTGACTAACAATTCACTGAGTACCAGTAGACCTCAGCCTGTGGTTCAAATCAGCTTTTTCCTGGTCCTCTAAACTGTTTTGTAGCTTCTACTGGTTTGTGGCTCAACATTCTGCTTGTCAATCTTGTGATGGGGGCCAAAAAATCATTCAGTCTGCTTTGTGCTGTGGACTGACTCAATCCACTGCCCCTGTACTTGCTTGCATAGTCAGCCACAACTCCCAGATGGATTAGGTGCATTTTCTGGATTTTGTGAAACATTTTCAGTGCACAAAAAAGCATACTATATGTAGGAGATGAACACAAAATTCATATTTTATGGATGAATGCACTAAAAAGCCTTGAGAAGCATTTATTTGTTTTGTTTCTTATATAGAGATATAAGAAGACATCATTTTCTGTGCCCTTGTACTTGTGGCATACAGCACTGTTTCCATTCCACTGTGGTTCATCTTCCACCACAAACTATGTGACTTGTCTTGCTGCTTGCTGCGGTCATTACGTTATTCCACCCCACTCATTTCAGTGTGTTGGAAACTCAGTGCAAATGGGGAAAATATAATCCATTATATAACTTTTGCAGGCTGAAAGCAGCAACAGCAAACACCAACTGCACTTACTGGGTTGATTTCTATTCAGACATGAGATGAAGAAGAGAACACCAGAAATTTCCACTCCCATTTCAGATGGAATTCCCTGGCATACCTAATTTTACATAAAAGTGTGCATTTTATATTAAAAAGTGTGTAGGAAATATGAGTGGGACAACCTGCCTTGTATAACCATGCTTAAGTCTAATTAATGCAGGAAGGGGTTAATACCATAGAGTAAGCTCTCCTGCCAGGCTTAGCTCACCTTGGGAGGTACTAGTTAATCAAGTCTTGGTTCCCTTTCAGTCTACCTGAGAAACTCAGTGTTTGGTGTCAGAGTTTGTCACTCTGCGCTCAGACTACATGGCACTTCTGAGACCCATTTAATGGGTGATACTGAAACCATATTGTGATGGGCCTTTAACATGATGGTGTAGCACATCTCATCTCCACCACTCATATAGCACCCATACTTAGTAAATGTTTATTGTAGGCAACTGGACACCATAATCCTCAGATCAAATAGTATCCTCTCTCTGTAATAGTCTATGCTATATACATTTTTGGAAAAATGAGATGGGCACATGCAGTGAATACCAATTGCTGTAAACCATAGGAGATGTGAGCACTCTTGTGATTGGTCCTGCTTGCAGGTTTCACATTGGGGCACCTAGTTGGCCATTGTGAGAATAGGATGCTGAACCTGATGGGCCGTTGGCCTGATCCAGCAAATGCTTTTCTTGGAGGTTTTAAAGCAGAGGTTGGATGGCCGTCTGTCATGGATGGTTTAGCTGAGATCCTTGCATTGCGGGGGGGCTGGACCAGATGACCATTAGGTCCCTTCCAACTCTTAGATTCCGTGATTCCATGTAGCATCAATATTATGGGCTTGAATATATCCTGTTGATTCTGGTATTTATCTAGGCTCTGAGAGCTGCTAACGTAAGTGAGAAAGATTTACCTTTATAAAGGAAATGAAGAAATATACATCAGATATGGCCAATTTCATGCAGCAGAAAATGACCCAATATGGATTATATTAATGTGCATTACAACTGTAGGGAAATTATCCATCTCTCTCAGAAGTCAGTAATTAAGGGAAGTACAAATTGGAGATCTTATCCCATCTTGACCCCATGCAGAAGTGGATATTTGTTTTGTTTAGGGGGTACTGCATCTGTCTGTCTTTTGTTATTTTGCACTGTTCCCTTCAAGGCACCATGCAACGAGTGACTGTCAGGGTATAGGTTTAATGGGAATTGGCATGTGAAAGAACAACAGTATTTCTATTTTCTTGAATTCTCTAACCAATGTAGCACTAAGTTAAAGTCTCTTAGAGGTATACTTGTTCCGCTGGGGAAATGTTTTGCCCCAGCAGGATATTGTTGCCCAAGGATGTTGTTGCATTACCAGGTTGCTGGTAACTTTGCTGTGCAATGGATTGTGGAATCTGCTGCACAGTAAACTTCCGCTGGAGTGGCTGTTGGGTTGGATTCCTCTGTTGCGCATTATTAAAGCTTGCTTGTCTGCCTGCACTAGAATCCTTGTGCTAGCAGATAGAAAATATTAGATATAGAAAGGTATCTCCATGTGTTTCTTAACTGTATTAAATATGAATCACATTTACATTTTAGAAGAAGAAGAGGAAGAACGTGTATCATGCTTGTAATGTATTTTGTTCCTTCATCCTTGCTTGGCTTGAGATTCCCAAGGAAAGCTGGAATGAAGCATTGAATTTGTTGTGCAATGGATTGCACCACATATTGTACAATAGAGCTGCCAGCAAGCAACTTTTCAAATAATTGTATTGTTGTAAGGGAACCTGAGAATCATCTAGTTCAACCTCCTGCAATGCAGAAATTTGCAGCTGTCCCATATAGGGAATCAAACCTGCAACCTTTGCGCTGTCAGCACCGTGCTCTAACCAGCTGAGCTATCCAGTTGCTTATGCATTCTTTTGTTCAACAGCATCCTACTGGTGCAAAACATTTCACCAGCAGAAGAACTATGCCACTAAATGACTTCAACTCAATGCTGCATTGGATACAACTGGTTGATGCCTAGGAAGCTGGCTTATGCCAAGTCAGATTTATTGGCTCATCTGCCTCAGTATTGTTTACAGTAACTGGCAGAAACTCTCTGGGACCAGAAGTCTCTGCCTTCTCTCCCTAGAGATGCGGGCGATTGAAACTAAGAACTTCTACAGGCCAAGTGCATGTTTCTAAACATTGAGCAACTCTCAGATGAGGAAAGGTTGCTACAGTTGGGACTTTTCAGTTTAGAGAAGAGGTGAGGAGGAGGTGGCATGAGAGAATTTTATAAAGTTATGCACAGCATGGAGAAAGAGGACAGAGGAAAGGTTTTCTCCCTCTCTCGTAACACTAGTATTCATGGACATCAAATGAAGCTGAATGTTGGAGGATGCAGGACAGAGAAAAGAAAGTACTTCTTTATGCAGTGTATAGTTGGACTATGGAACTCACATCCACTGGAGACAATGATGGCCAACAACCTGGATGACTTTAAAAGAGGACTGGACAAACTCATGGAGGAGAAGGCTATCAATGGCCACTAGCCATGGTGGCTATGCTCTGTCTCCACAGTCAAAGGCAGAAATGCTTCTGGATACCAGTTGCTGGAAACCACAGGAGGGAAGAGGGCTTTTGTGACTGGGTCCTGCTTGCAGGTTTCTCACAGACATGTAATAATAATAATAATAATAATTTTTATTTATACCCCACCCTCCTCAGCCAAGGCAGGCGGCTAACAAGCAATAATAAAAACAAGTTGATTGAATACAACTTAAAAACAAGATTGAAATACAACATTAAAATATTGTAACATTAAAATATTAAAATGCAGCTTCATCACAGGAGGAGAAAGGAAAAAGAAAAAAGAAAGAGGGGGAGGGAATCAAATTGGCTCCAAATCAAAGACCAGGTGGAACAACT